ACGTCAGCCATTTCCTCTGGCCTTGTTGTCTTTCATTCTGACAGAGCTCTTAAATAACTTTTTGTTTTAGCGTACTCACAGTTGACATCAGGATCAAAGCTGTGGTACACAGCATTATATTAAGGGTGAAGGGTGGGTTTATTAATTTCAAGAAAAGTTATAGTGTTCATAGATAGTTTTTCTTAAGCTGCAGGGGATGCCACTTCCCAAATATTGAATAAATTTCCACATATGAACCGTTCCCTCTTTCTCTTCCCCATCTACATGCCAAATATCCTTGGGCAAGATACTAACCCCAAGATGCTGTCTGATGCATCTGTCTCTATATGAATGTGTGTGAATGTTAGATAGAAAGCACTTACATACTAAGAGCATAGAAAAAAGTGCGTGTATGAATGGGTGAATGAGCCAAGTTGTATAAAGGGCTTTGAGTGCTGAGTTAGAGTAGAAAAGCACTATATAAGAACCCGTCCATTTACCATTTACCATACTTTTCCCCTTTTTCCTCAGTAATGTCAAAGACATTCACTCTGTGTTGGAGGTGACAGTGTTTGATGAAGACAGAGACAGGAGTGCAGACTTCCTGGGAAAAGTGGCAATTCCATTATTGAATGTGAGTGTAATAAAAGTATATGAAAGACACACGATGTGTATGTGTGTAAAGTGCTAACATGTTTGGTTGTTGAGTTGCATCCAGCTGTATGGGTGTAATGAACAGACACTAGGCAAATTGTGCAAACGATTCAGACAAAGAAAATGTTGGAATTTCTCCAAATCTATAGCACACAGTTCTTAGAGTGGTAGCACCACATAGCAAGCCATATTATGTGTTTGATCATTTCATTAAAGGGGTTAAGAAGCCATCAACACAGAAACTCTGAGACTTAGAGAACAGCAATAAGCTACAGCTGGCTGAGTTGGCACAAGTACCAACGTTACGATGCTCCTATCTTTAAGATATAAAACAAACCCAGACAGGCTTTGAAAAGAAAAAGAGTTCATTCTTGTAGTAGCTATTTTGCGGATGTTTAGTATACTAAACTTATTCAGAAACTCAAATGATCAAAATGTCATGTGTGTAGCTGGACTGTTATTATTGCTTGTAGTACCTTGAGTAGCAGCATGAAAACTGAAAGCTTACAAGGTGCTTAAAAAAACAGAGAATGCCCATTAGATTGGTCTTACATGCATCCACTGAGCATGTAAAAGTCTTTTTGAATCACAGAGAATCAGTTCAGTTTCAATTCACTTTTATTTATATAGCACCAAATCACAACAAAAGTCGCTTTAAGGCGCTTTGTATTGTAAGGTAAAGCGACTACATTAATACAGACAAACCCCCACAATCGATAACCAGTTAAAGTAACTAAAGCCAAACCCAATTATGTTTTTGTGTTTTAGGTTCGTAATGGCGAGCAGAAGGGATACCTGTTGAAAAATAAGGAGCTGACAGCACCGACCAAAGGGTGCATCTACCTAGAGATTGATGTCATCTACAACGCTGTGAGAGTCACGCTGTGCTGTGAATGCTCATTTTAGATCTAAGCAAAGCAAGACTGTAGGCTGGCTTTTGTTGTGGTTTTACATAGTTCTTCAGGACATTTATGTCAAGAAGGTTTTTGGCTTCTAAATGTAATCAATAAAAATGTAAAACCTCTACAATACGTACATCCACTTTTTACAAACTCCTGGACCAGATAGAAAATGTTATGCCAGACCGTATTGTGTGTTTCTCTTTTTTAAGGTTAAAGCTGCTTTGAGGACTGTGGTTCCTGCAGAACAGAAATATATTGAAGAAGAACCAAAAGTCTCCAAGCAAGTATGTATCAGTATTTCCTGCTGATGTTTTTTCAAACCGGTGACAAAACTTATCATTCTTCTATAACTTGAGACTAAAAAACAACCAGCCAGTACAATACAAATATGAGTAAAGGTTCTGAAAAGGGTCATAGATTTCAAGATTTCTGGTGTTAAGAGGAAAACTTTCCAAAGTGCCAAGGGATCTGTCATTTTCCCAATGTTTAGGTTAGTTTGGGTTGGGGGGGAAGGATGTAGAAATGAACAAGGTTCAAGAGATGTTGAGTGAGGAGGAGAGAGACTTTGGTGTGATCTTGTGTCTTTGTGATACTTTAGTGGGAGCCAGTCTAGATACAGGACTTCATATGTGAGTGTTTGTGAACCATGACTGCAGAGTCACTGGGACTGTCAGGACTTCCAGTAGAAAGGACAATGTGAAAGGAAAGTGAAGGCCAACTATGTGCTAAAAGTATATATTTGTATCTATATCAGAATCAGAATACTTTAATAATCCCTAAGGAAATTGTGTAATATATAATATATTTGTACATTTTTTTAATTATCCTAATCAGCTGCATATTTCTTTGAATCTGAATATGCTATTTTTAATAGCTGTACAGTATTTTTTTATGTTGTAAATTTGCTCCGTACAGTCTCTTGTTTCTTGTTTTTTTTTAAATTAATCTTTGTGTGATTTTGCGTGCTCCATCTGCCTGTCTCTTTGCTGAATTTCTGAATTTCCCCAATGAAGGACAATAACGCATATTTCTTTTCTATTCTATATTGTTATGTTGGTCACAAGAGCACTCCAGGATGATGCTCAGAGTGTGGACCATTGTTGGTAACCATAGACGTAGCCTTTAACTAGAAGAGGTAAATCTAATTCTGAAGCATTGCCACAACCAGGAGCTCTATATTGTTGGTGTTTACATCCTAAGGACATTTAATGAGTGAAGAGGGATCAAGGGGGTTGCTAGGCAGAGCGTTTGGTAGTTATATAGAGCTGCTAATCGTCTGCACAGAAGAGGAAGTTAAGCCATGGTTGAGGATTATCTGAGACAGTATGTAAATGATGAACACGAGTGGTCCAAGCATACATCCTCGGGGGAACAGCTTACGGTAGGTCATGTAACAACTGAAATGTTTAGAAACATCTTTGCGTCTTTCAGTTGCTCCAGCAGAACTTCAACAGAGTCAAGCGCTGCATTATGGTGCTGATTAGCTGGGGAAGTTTCATCAACAGCTGCTTTGAATGGGAGTCTGCACAGAGAAGCATTGTCTCCTTTGTGGTATGAAAGGCACTAATGCACACACACACATCCCTGTACACATGACCGATGAATGATCTACTGAGTGTCATGTTGTTTTGCTTTCTATTAGCTGTTTGTGGTGGTGGTGTGGAATTTTGAGCTCTACATGCTGCCACTAGCCTTGCTGCTTCTACTTGTGTGGCACTATTTCTTCTGCTCCAGCAGGGATGGAGCTGATGTGGTGAGAAAACAAGTAAAACGCAGGCCTTCTAAAAGCGCTCCTCTTTCAGACAACGTTATAATCGCTTCATTTTCTGTTGTAGTCCATGGATGGCATGTTTGAATGGGAAGTTGATGAAGATGATAAAGAGGAAAAGGTAATGATGTTTTAAAACTATAAACATTAATATGTAATATTAACCAAGAGACTTCTTAATAGAGGAACACAGGTGTTTGGCTTATCCCAGATTGCCTTTTAGGCCTTCAAAGATAAAAATGTGTTTCTGCCTATCTGCATGCTCAGTATTACATTATATAATATTAGTTTCCTAAAAAATATGAAGGCAAATATGCAAAAGTAGCATCTGGCATTCTTGTGACCATTAACCTCGTAATAATAATAATAGCTCTTTGTTAGAAATTTATGTAGTACAAGTGTTTCAAACATTTAAGAAAAAGTATTTTTGTGTACAGTCTTACAAAGTTCAAGTCCTTAAAGAGTTTAAGGTCTTTAGGGCTTTTATTTTGAAGGTTTAGATGCTGCTGACTGACATTTTAGAAAGAACAACTAGCTAGCTGTCTCAGGTTCATCAAAACCAAGATAAGGCTTCCAAAGTCAAGATATGTTTTCCTACACAAACACACGGAAAGATTACTTCACAATCACCATCTGGACAGTCATGCCTATGATGCCTATGTATTCATGATGTTTCTCCTGTCCCTGTCAGGACTCAGAGCCCAAAGGCTTTATGGATAAACTGTACGCCATTCAGGACGTGTTTATCAGTGTTCAGAATGCTCTGGATGAGGTGGCGTCCTTTGGAGAGAGAGTGAAGAAGTACGTTTTCTGGGTTAACAAGTTTCCTCTCTGATTTCTTTTCGCAGCTGTTTGTTGTGAAGCTGTTAGGTGTGACTTGTGATTTTTCACATACATCCAGTTGAATGTTTTTTTTTAATGAGCTCTTTTGTCCTTTTCTACCCGCAGCACTTTTAACTGGACCGTGCCTTTTCTAAGCTGGTTGGCAATCACTGCCTTGTGTTTGGCCACATTTCTTCTCTACCTCATACCTTTACGATACCTCGTGCTTGCATGGGGTGAGTCTTGATTTCACAACACACAGACGACTACACACACAGACAAAAAAAATGTTACACTAGGTTGGTGTAGAGCTGGTGCACGAGAAAGGGAGTTTCAGTTACATTTTTGTGAGGCTCCAGATCGTTTACCTCAAAATTATGAAATATGGTCCTGGCTTTAGGGGGATGAGGTCTCTGCCCTTCTAGATGTTTAATGAAATACTTAGTGCTCATATTTTATTTTAATTTTTTAAGGTTGTGGGTAAACTTGTAACTAATCTAATGGGAATCCAATTAGATAAACATCCACCTGTTTCTATCTTCTGGGCTCTATGTTCTAAATGATTTATGCTCACCATGTTGGTTTTTGGACCATATTTGTGAGAGTAGAGTTAGCTTTTAAAGCAAGCAGTTTCCTGGAAGAGAAACCTGCTACTTATTGCCAGGTAACACAGTAATAGAATAAAAACTATATTAGTTATGGCATTATTTAAAATACCAGGCTGCAACCATCTTAATTCATAGTGCAAATGAGCATTTTTACATGGGACTTTATCAAAGCAACTTGATTTGATGGTTACCAAAAAGATCTTGTAGATCTTGCCTTAGTGTTGTTGTATTTATATCACGTAATGAACCATGGTGACTCAGTCTCAGCTTGGACTGCTTGGTCTCTGCTAGTCCTCAAACAGTTGTTTTTTCTGCAGGTGTGAATAAGTTCACCAAGAAACTTCGTGATCCATACATGATCGACAACAACGAGCTTCTTGACTTCCTTTCCAGAGTCCCCTCTGATGTTCAAGTGGTGGGTAATTTTGTAATCCATGAAGAATGCATGTAAATAGAGGTACATCGTATGTAGGAGAACGTCAGAACAGGATGTTTCACAAAACGAATCCTCAGGCTACAGCGGCTGTCATTCACGAGGCATTCACGCCTCAGTCCCTGAGTTCTCAGTCAGTGTACTGCATGGACACAGTTAATACTGGAAATGTTTCCTTTTCAACATATTGGAAGAACAGTATTTAAGTGAATCACACAGCTGTCATTTACTGTGTTTGCATTTTCATTAAACTCATAGAAAAGCATTTTAAAGTCACATTTATATGATAGATGAAGCACATAGTCCTGTTTGCTGTCGACAGCTGCCTGAGCATTAGTGTTGTGTGTGGCTTTAATAAACACCTACAGGTATCACGCAGCAGATAACATGAGACCTGCTCATACACACACATGTAACCTGATTAAAAGCACATCAGTAATTTATATTCTGTGGTCGTTTGTACAGGTGTGGTTAGATACAGGTTTCAGGTTTATGTGGTGGTTTTTCAGAAGGAGACTTTCCTGGATTTTCTTGTGCTCCATCTAAGCTCTTAGGAATCATTCAGAGAATGAATTTCCTGATCCTGCCCAGCTGCCCTCAACCTCTGACTGCGCATTTCCCCTTCACGCTGTTTCCAGAGAGAAAGCTCACTGTTTTCTCTGTAAGAAAGTGAAGCTGGGCCTGTGTTGTTAGATTAGGTCACTGGTGCTGCTCTAGGTAGATTCTATACTGTATGAACCAGAGCTGGAGTCTGTCTGTTGTCACAGTATTATCTGTTTGTGTTGATGGACAGATGCAGTATCACGAGCTGAAAGTTGACCCCGGGCAGAGCCCCAGCAAACGCCGGAGGACAAACCTGAGCTAGCTGTAAACAATGTAAACTATCTTGTTTATATGTTTCTTGTAAATTTTAATTATTATGAGAAGTTGTAACTGTTAAGTGTTTTCTTTTTGTTACTGAGGAAGGACACTGATTTTCTAAATCTTTTAAAAAACAAGACAAACCTGTTCATGTTTTTTAATCTCTCTCATTTCTCATAAGAACTCTGCACACAAACTAAGTAACTGTGGTAATAATAATGATTGTCATGAGTATACATGTATAGTGTGTCCCAGAGTCTGCATGTAATGAAGATGTGCTTCTGTTTGCATGTAAGCATTGCATCTCCAGCTTTTTGATTTCTCTCAACATGTTTGTGCCATTTCAAACGGGATGCCAGCGTCCCATGCTATGTTGAAGATAGAGTTGCATGCATTTATACACCTACAGTAAATAAAATCTCCTATTTGGAAATATTATCTTTTTCAGGAAACATTTCTTTCTAAAGATGAAATACTAACATCTCAGCTCAGTGGTTTTTTTCTTTTTGTCTGCTTCTCACCTCTTCCAGTTTGCTTTCTCTGTTTCTTTTTGTTTTTTGCCTTTTTGGACCACATCTTAGTGTTACTCGACTTACTCGTCATCTGTTCTTTTTAATCACTCGTGTTTTCATGATGTGATCTGCATGTCTGCGTAAGCTGCTGGTTGTATGTGTTTTGCATGACTGAAATTATATGCAAGGTGCTGAACGTGTTTATCTCTGCAAACTGCACTGACCTGATACTGTTTACTCTTACCACCAGATCATTACGTCTGTCGCGCTGCACATTATCTCTCTCTGTTTCCTGTTGCACTGTCTGTAATTACTGTGGTTGGAATGAAGCCAAAAGTAGGACAGACTGTATCAAGTGTGTAGCATTCCTCTGGCAAAATATATTTCTACACAGACCCACATGGCTTTCTGTGTCTGATATGCAGTTTACAAAGTGAGCTTGAGCAGATCCCTTAGAAAGATTCATTATATTTCCAAAGGTGGTAAGTAGTGTCTACATAGAGGGACTCATGAATAGGGCTTACTGGGAACAGGCCTGGGGGAGCTGGATTCTCTCTGGTCAAATTAAAACAGCCTAAACCATGAAGCCGACAGATTTACACCCTTCCTGTTCACTTCTTGTGAAACAGTGACTGCCTGCAGTCTGTCAGTGATGATAATGTTTGACAGACTAAATAAATCCATTGAGTTCTTTTAACTTTCAATAAATTAGCACAAGGCTGAGAATGAGAAAAGTGAATTTTAAATTCAGAGTAAAGTAGAAGATTTCAATTTCAAAGATTTGTGTTGCATGTAAAATTTTTGTTTTTAAGCTGTAGTCTTCTGACTTTTTATTGCAAATTTTGGTTTATGAAATTAATTCAGCGATTTCTTTTTATTAAGTAGTTCACCGTAGCACAAAGAAACACTGGGGTAGGATTGTAACTCAAACATCCAACTAAAAGATTACTTTCAAAATTTACTTTCACTGATAAATGGATGGCGGCAGTTAGCACTACCATCTCAATACTCCAGCAACAAGGTTCTGAGTTTTAACTCCTTTTGCCAGTAACGGCTTTGTATTTATCTACCAGCAGGGGGACCCCTTAAGTCATGGTGGATGGTAGAAGATGCCTTGGGGTCAATTTAACAAGAAGTATCAGTTGACTTCTAGTTGACTAAAACTGAACTAAATGTGCTAACATTTTAAATTCACTAGCATAATAAAAGCTACATTTTTAGAAGAAAGTGGGAGCTAACTGAAACATTATTATATACTCTCAACTTCACCTGAAAGAAAATCAGTGTATACAGGAAATGTTTTTAGTTCAGTTTGTCAGTCTGATCAAATCTTCTCACAGCCTGTCTGATGAGATTTTAGTGCAAAATTTGAGACGTGGGATGTAAGCATGATTGCCTTCACAAGGTGTTGTGTGCCTTGTGTTTAAAGTTTGAAAACGAGGAAAAAAGGAGACTTGAAATGACTGAAAACTGCTGAAAGACTTAAAATGGCCAGGAATTGAATTATTTGGCCTTCACTTTGTGTGCCATGTCTGGAGAAAACCGTGGCACTGCACTTCTGAGAAAGCTGAAGGTCAGAGATTAGAGCTGCCCCATAGTACTACAATCTCAGGATTGTAGTACTAACCCATCAACACTTGTTGTAATCACTGCTACAGTAACTGCTTTAACTGAGCAGCCTGCTGAGTGAGCTCTGAATACATTATTATATTTCAGTTTTACGTTTTTAAGAAAATCTTGTTGTTATAATTCAGGGTGTGAAATGTGAAAAAACTGTGGATTTAAGCTGTTTCAACAGAAGCCTGCACCATACCAATATGCAAGAAAGTTATGTGAATATCGCTTCCATGCAAACTAGTTTAGAAAGCATACAGACACATGCTGAATGAGGAAGTACCAAAACAGGCAAAACTGTGCAAAGCCAGATTTTAACTGATGTCTTTTCTTTGCTCTCTGCCCATCTATTTGAGCTCAGTTTTGTATAGCACCAAAATATTGAATGTCAGGCCACTTTGAACTGTGAGATCAAGACTGGATTAGACAGAAACCCCAACAATCCCCTACGAGGATGGTGAGAAGAGAGAGGGAGACCGTGGTGAGAAGGAAATCTCTTTTCATGAACAGAAGATCCCAGAAGTGACCAGTTTGGGGGTGAGGAGGAAGAGAAAACAAACAGAGAATGGGATGTTTTTTTGTTTTGTTTTTTTATCTTACCATTATGAAAGAAGTAAAACTTTTATTTCTTGTGCTTTTGAATTGACAGACTTAGTTTTATCTTCATGTCAAGCATTTAGAAGACTTTTACATGGTAAGAAAGGCCCTGTGATGAATCTGTCCAGCGTGACAGATTGGGAGCGTCCTTTCATGTCTTTGACCCGCTATTGATCGTCTGATTAATCACATGAGTTAAGGTGTGAAAACAGGTGTGGGTCACTCGAAGAGGAGTGAAAGAAGCCATCTATGTAATAATGTAATAGTTGATATACTTCATATGAGTCCTTTGATACTCTTTTCAAAGTAATGTCTGAATTGGAGATATAAGAAGAAATCTTGATGAGGAACTTTTCATCTGTCTGAGATGATTTTAGTATCGATAATATATAAAGTCTGTCTTTATTAGAAAGGCCACTGTGTGAACATCTGCAGTGGCCTGTCTAATAAAGACAGCTCTATGAGTTTCCTGTTTTCTGACTCCATCAAAGTATAACAGTTTTATGTGTGCTGATAAATAATAGTCTTTGGTAAGTCCATCCCTCCCTCATTGTGTCATACTGGAGAGCTTATAATTCACGCCAGGAAATTTACCTTTCCAAATAAATCTATTTATCACTTTGTCTCATTCTCTAAACTGATAATCACGGATGTGGATAAGCAAAACTAGAACAAACAGAGCAGTCTGGGCAAGATATTAGTTTTTCCCACCATTATTCTACTCAAGTTCTAATGGCAGGAGAGCCCATCTATCAAGAGCCTTGTTTCTCTTTTTATTGATATGTGCATAATTTTCAATAGAAGTTTACTACATTCATAATCTTATACCCGAATAACATATAGAAGTAGCTCCCAAGGTCTCCTAGTATTTCATAGCTTGAGAGACTAGGGGAAGTTTAAACATTAATATTAAGAGTATACCCTGCATCTGCAACAAGTTAATTAATCTAGAAACTCCTCGTTCTGAATTCTGATCATGGTATTGTGTGCCTGAAGAAAAATGTTATACTCCGTTTCCCTTATTGTAATAACATTGAGCTCTAAATGCGGATTGATCCTCATCAATTAAAAAGGGCATCACTTCCTCCAGTCTTTTTGTTAGAATGGTATATTTGTGTATATTTTTTTAAATCCTGGCTCGTTACACTGACTGGTCAATATGCGGCACACATTGGTATGCTACAGGTCAAAGTCTGTGGGACCAACTGGCAGGGATCCTCACCAGGTTGTTCAACCTCTCCCTGACTCACGCCACCATTCCCACCTGTCTGAAGGCCTCCAGCATCACTCCCAACAACAAAAAGACTAGAATATACAGCCTCAATGACTACACAACTATAGCCTCACAAACAGCTTCTTCTCCTGGGCCACTTGGACAGTTAACAAACATTAGCACCCCACACCCAAACCCTGCCTATAAATCTGGGCCATGGTCTGAGTAACTCCCATCACTCAGGGTACTCACACACAGACTCTCTTTAGACCAGCTCTTGGGAATAACCAAAATGACTGCCTCACTCTGGGGGTATGGACTCTTTGTTTTGAAGTATAATCAAAAATCTTTTGCAATAATGGTACCGATTCTTCCCTCAGTACTTATAACACTCTCCTGGGAATCTGTCATTCCCCGTCAATTAGAGTAAAAGAAGAAGACATAAGCCTGTTAATTCATGAGCTGCTCTTTCTTTTGTAAATTTATCATTGTGCAATCTCCCAGCGGAGGGCAGGTCTCGCTTAACAAGAAAGTGTTCTACTACTTACTTTCTTAAAAGTAATGGATTATGTTACTTAAGTACTCCCAGGAGAAAGTAATTCATTAATTCTTGTTACATTACTTTCTGGTTTCTCTGTAAAATGACCTGTTGTTGTGAAAAAAAGCAACTGTTGCTGTGACTTCGCACACTTAATTCAGCTGATTGTAGTGCATGTGCAAGTGGAATCAATAAGCAGGCTAACACTTCCAACGAATAGAACTACTGGGAACTGGCTCTCTACAAGCACCGGTTCTTGATTCCCATCCCTAGATACATCTGAACAAACCACAAGACTTCTGGAATAACGAGACCAAAGTGGAGATGTTTGTTGAGAGTGCACAGCAGCACCTTTGGAGAAAACCAAAAAGCACAAGCACCTCAGACCAACTGTCAGCTTGCTGGTGAAGGGATGATGATTTGGGCACCTTGCAGTCACTGAGTGGAGCATAAACTACTCTGCATACAAAAGTGTTCTAGAGTCAAATGTGAGGCCATCTGTTTGACAGCTAAAGCCTGGATAAAACTGGGTCATCAACAGGACAATAGTTTATTTATTTAAAAGGGACAGTGGATAAATGTAAATATTCTAGAATTAGCTACAAGTCTACTTTTCATCTGCAGTCCCTGGCAGGTCAGACAAACACAATAAATAAGGAATTTAGCACGCCATCAGGCAATGTACAACAATCTAATCCAGACAACAAATACATAAAATTGCAACAAAGAATGTTATAATACAATGAAACAGAAAACAACAAATAAATAAAAACATACAACATTAAAGATAACACATATTAATATCAAGCTAGTGATCGTGAATCTGATTCCTCTTTAGCCATCGTTTGAGATTAGTTTTAAATGTGTTGAAGGCAGCACATTCTCTTATTACAGCTCAAATATTGTTCCAAATCTCACTACCTTTAACTGATAACACCTGTTTACTGAATGTCGTTTGTCTAAAAGGTATTGCACAATCCCCTCTGGATACTGTTCCATTGATATTGCATTTAAACACAAACTCCACCTTATAAACAGAAAAAGCTAACTTAAATATTTTACAGTTTTTAACACTTTTTTTAGATATTGAAGGAAAATGGTTTTCTGTCTAACACTTTAAATGCCTTTCTAAATAAAGATTCTATTGGTTTTAAAGTAGGTGTACTTACCACTGATCAATTACTGAAACAGTATTCTATATGAGAATAAAATCATAGAAAAGAGAAACAATTTGGCTGCATTTTTTGGCCGTGGTGATCTAATTTGTCTAATATTGTGTAGGTCAAATTATATGTTCTTAACACGATTCACAAATGATAAGGTGGAATCACCAAGCTATTTAAATTTGTGTAAAACCTTAAGTTCTCGTCCTTTCAGAACGACATCAGAACATAGTCTTGATTTTGGTCGTTTTGATAGAATCATGCAAACAGTTTTTTTTTAAGTAATAGAGATCACTTAGTCAGCCACTCATGAATACACTTCATTGCTGTTGTCAGCTTTTATGAAACTTCCATATCAGTCTTTGCCAGGTAGAAAAAACATCATCATCTTCATGCAGCAGGGTATTGATGTTCTGAGATGTATGTCTTAAGATCTCGTTTTCTTATTTTTAGTCTATTTTACAGCAGGTTTACTAAGTTAGCTTAGTATTAATCATCTTTACAAAAACGGTCTTCAGTACTTCTGTGATGTTTACTTAAAAAAAATTGCTGCCATTTGAGAAAAGGCATCTTTTCAAAAATGTAGCTACAAGACAGAGTCACCCAAGAGCGGTTTACAAGGTGGATATAAAAAATAAATTAAAACATAAATTAAAAAGGTAGAAATAATACAAAGTACAACTATAGCTTTTAAATCGCCATTTGATACCTCAGTAAATATGGCCTATGCCTGTTGCAGCAGTCACTTAATCGTCTAAGTAACAATACGTCACATTAATAAGGAACAGGGAGCATTAAAACAGTTTATTCAATTCTTTATTGCACACTGTGCCTGTGTGTTTCCACAAACCGTCTTATCGTTCCAAGATTATTTTTAAAAACTCTCTTTTTGTAACAAACCCTGTGGGGACAAGTTGGCAAATGTCTTGTCTGTAAGTCGTATTATGTCAGCGGCGGAGGCTGAGCCGTGCTCCTTTCTGTGTAAGCAGGCTGGCCAGTTCGTGCGCACATGCTCAGTGAGGTCATTTGTGCGCACGGAAGCTTTAAGAGCGCAGCGCTGGAAGCAGACGCCAGCAAAGATCGGTAGAGAAGCACAGGCGCACTCGGAGGAGGAGGGCGCAGATCTCCTGCGGACCATCAGCTACCAGATGAGCCATCACTGACAGCCGCAGACCCGGCTCTGCGCTGGGCACCCGGAGCGAGGCGCATGCATTTGTGCCACACGGCTCTACTCACAACTTGTTCTCCATAGACACTTTTCCTCATCCTGTTTACTTGTCCATTCGTTATCATCATGGTACTGGGCAAAGTGAGGGCCTTGGCGATCTACTTTGACAGTCTGAATGAGAACAACCTGCCGGTGTTCTCCGGAGGAGACCTGGTGTCGGGGAGGGTTGTTGTGGAGGTCACTGGGGATGTGCGGGTCAAGAGCTTGGACATAACCGCGAGAGGAGTCGCCAAGGTCCGGTGGACAGAGTCGAGAAACGCCGGAGCAAACACGGCTTATACTCAGAACTACACAGAGGAGGTGGAATACCTGCATCATTACGACACCTTGATAGGAGAGGAGAGAGGTAAGGAGTTGCTCCTTTTTCTTCTGCTGTTTCGTGATCTGTGTGAAGTGATGCGGCGCAACTGATCACTGCAAACTTTTGACAGAAGCTCGTCCCCAAACTTTCTTACCGCGGAGTGCGTAATCGTGTGCCAGAGCCACAGAACACCGGGACCCTGCGCGCAGTGGTACTGATGCAGCAGCTGTAGGCGCGATCCATCCTCACTTAAAACCAATTATTAAAGCAAACGTTTGATACGCGAAGGGATGAGGGAGTCTGCTTTTACATGCGGACTGTCTGGATGTTGACATCACGGGGAGGAGGGAAAAAGTTGAAATCTTCCAGTGAAACACTTGATGAAAAAGAGCAAAATCGAAAACATGGCGCTTCGTATTTTAGAGCAACATTTTGGTTGAACTAATGGCACAAGGACCTTTTTACTGATGACATCTTCAACTAGGCTAGCACAGGCAACTCCCTTTGTTAGAAGCGGTTCAAACCTGTTCAGAAACTGCCAGCGAGAGAGGGAGGGGGGAGGACCAGGCTGACGCTCAGCGCGCGTGTGTGTTGTAAAATCAGCTGCTGCTCCTAACACTTGTATACCTGTGTTGGAGGACCAGATGATTTGGGTAAGAGTAAAACATGTCACATCAAGGATTTAGGTCACACGTGAACTGTCTGTTCAGCAGGTTTTTTTGAATTATTAGAGGTTGGGAAAATGAATAATCTCAAAACTGAAACGATGCAGCCTGCAGGAGTCTGGTCTGTGGACAGAGCTTCTTTTCCCAGCAGTCTAGAGGCACAGCTTTTGCTCTTTGTTTACTCAACGATGGATGGTGGAAAGGTCAATAAGAAAAGACACAATTTCACAGGTCTTGCAGAGTATTTAGACTTAAACAAAGTGCTGCATCCACCTGGAGGCTGTCTCTGAAGACTTCCAAAAAATCTCATGAGCTTCCAGGAGATGCAGCTTGGCTCTTTGTTGTAAGTTGAAGACATCTTTACAACATCCTGGAGTTCCTTGCAGATCTCACTTTGACCAAATCACAGTACAATAGTGTGACAACACAAAAAGTAACACATTTTCAAAAGTCCGAGCCTTGAAGTATCAGAAATTTGCAATTTTTTAAGTTTAACTGATTGACTTACCATTAATAGTCGTTGTATGTTTTTAAAGGTCTGTCAGTATTTTTGAACAAATGCAATTTTTTAATCAGTAGATAGAAAACTCAATTTAAGTGGCTTATTTGTCATTTCATTGATTAAAATAAAAATTCTTTTGGGCAGATAATGAAAGGGCAGGATATTCCACATATCTCCTGTTAAAAAATTCATCATTGTCATCCTTTGCTCAGTTGAATAATGACTGTTACAGTTTACATCAACCAAACCAGAACACATCCAGCATCTAATGATGTAACCACTCGCATTTAAAAGGTGACTTGCTAAAAGTACTTTAAGTATTATTTCAGCTCAGCTGGTAAAATTAACTTGAAGGTCATGTTTGGACCCTTTCAAAAACCTCAACACTAAACTCTCACTCACTCTGCTTCTACGTGGGTCATATCTCTTTTCTCTAAGCACAAAAGTGCCTGTAAGAAAAGAAAGATGAAACTAGCTGGGTGTCTTCTGATAACAGGGCATGACTGTAGAAGAGGACGTTTTTCCTTCATCCGTTCAGTGGTTTCAGAGTTTGCGTGAGAGCGGCAGGTTACCTGGAGTTTGCTGTCACTGTGTCTATAACACCCTTCCTCTCTACCTCCCCCACCTTCTCCTCTTTCATGCCACACACCACATGGCTGGGCTAATTGTGGGCAGGGGCTTGCCGGGGCTGAACCAATCAGAGCGAGACTTGCAAATTCATGTCACGTTGTCCACCAATGGGAGGACGAGTTGTAATGCCTGCGTTGGAGTTTCCAGCTGAAGGAAGCTGCTCAGTCTGGTTCATACCGGTCTACTCCTGCTTGCTCCGTGTTGCCGGTGACTTGACAGGGCGCACGCTTATACGCGCACTGACATACACACACACACTGGCCGTTGATGACAGTTCTCATAGCAAACACAGATATACATAAACAGCAGAGACTGAGGACGAAGCAGAACTGAGGTGGAAAGAAGCTGAAGTTCAGCAGGAGCATTTAGACGCAATATCACACACAAACAATAAGAGATGAAATGAGGAAGTGCTGCTTCTCCCACAGGGTGTGTTGCTTTGGCAGCCCTCTGACACCGCAAACAAGCTGCTTTTTCGCATTCAGGCAAAACAACTGTTACTAGAGTTTCTCAAATGAATTTTGTGACAGTAGAGAGAAGACTGGATGTGAGTGCTTCCCAAAAGGTGTAAGATATAGCCAACAACCCATTTTTTAGGGCATAACCTCATAAAACTCAGAAGGTCTCCAGGGTGGCATCTTTAATTCTTGTTGTGATTGACCAACAAAGCAAATATATTAAGTATAAAAGACCAATCCAATTTTATTTATCAAGAAGTACGGTTGGTTCATGGTGCTTTATATTGTAAATACCCTACAGGCACAGGTAAAGCAGGGCTTGTTTGTTTCAGAGGCTGAAAACTGCTGATAGCAAAGTTTAATATGACAAAGAGCAGCATATCTGGAAGCTACAAATGGAGAATCTGCAGTTTTGCTTTAAAAAAAAAATGTATTGCCATTTTTCCATCTCCAATTGTGCCATTTTTTTTTTATCTCCAAACCTTTTTGTCCTCGTGATCAAATGCCTTTCTTTGTGTGTGTGTGTGTGTGTGTGTGTGTGTGTTTAATAATCCCTCTGAGGTGAATTGGAGTTCATTGTGTAATAAGGCTACCTGACATTGTGCATCCATAGCTTGTACCAAAATGTAGGAGGCTAGGTGCAGTGTGCAGGTGTACTCAGTCTCAGTGTTCTCTGTCTTTCAGATGAGGACTGTCCAGAGGAGGGCGTGACTGTCCTGCACCCAGGCTTACATGAGTTTGCTTTCAGCTTCAACCTGCCTCAGATGTGAGTACACGTACACCTACACGTACATGAGAATTTCATCATTAATTCTTCCCTTCACTGCATTTCTCTTTATTTTCATCAGAGCTGAGGTTTTACAATTTTACAGTCTTGAGAAGAAACATTTGAAGATTAAACCTAAGATTTAGAACTATTGTCCTGTTACAATAAAACAATCTTTTGTTGTTGCCTCATGTCAGTGAACTAGTTATTCCACAGTTTTATTTAAAAGGCTAATCACCTGATTTTAGGTAATTTAATTACATAATTTGCATTAAAACTGTATTGAAAACTCACCAAATTGTTTTTATAATCAGAATTTAACAAAAGGATTAAAAAAATTCTCAAAGATCAACAAGAAGAAATGTGATGTGAAAACATGTTCATGACATGGTTGCTGACATGACTGTGAAGAAATAAATGCATACGTTAATAAAGAAAACTGAATGCTCTCTACTTCCTGTTTTGTTTTTTTATATATTTTCTGCTGGAACTTAAATGTAACGCAACACAGAGAAAAATGTGTTTGTGAGGAGCTGTTTTCTATTTTATTCCCACATTATCCAAAATTGACATTTAGTTTCTTCACTGGACATTTTTGCAAATGAGTGCTTCCACATCGTGGACCAGATTATGTATAATTAACATTTTTAAGCTAATATGTTCTTGTTGTAATACAAAAATATACAAAACTGCCATGGTGGTATCCATTAGCTAATATTTCACATTACATAAAACTAATCAGTCTTATTTCGGTACGATCTACACTAACCTAACTGCCGTCTCCACTCTTGATCTTGTCTCATTAAAAACATATCTTCCACAGATACTACCTTCTAATATTCACATAACCAAAGTAATTGAGAGATACATCAATCTTGTTGATGATGTAAAAAATCTGAAACTTGGATAACAAAACATTTGTAATCAGACAAATGTATCTGATGAAATACAAAATTAGGAAAATAAGGGGGTGGAGCGGGTATGGATAAATAAATAGTATCAGTATAGAGGCACAATAATGCAGTTACTGTTTACCTTGTAAAGAAAGATTTCGCTTACGACTATGAACCTGCTCCGTGACCTGTGTAACTGTAGCTGAGGCTTCATGTTTCAGATGTCTATAAGCAAATTTTACTAAAGTAACTGTTGCCGTCTGTATTTGTCACATGGTTTTGTTTATATAACTGTTTGAAGGCCCAGACAGGTACAGTTACCTAAATCTTTTTTTTTTTTTGAAGATTAAACAAAGATTAGAGACAGATTTGTATACCAGGACCCTGAGTTTTACCTTGTGAACCTTTGAAGGTATTTGACCCCTAGGTTTTGATAGTATATTTAAAAATGAGGGACAGCAGTAAGAGACGCTGACCTTCAGTTATTTTTTTTCTGAGTACCAGGACTTGTTGTACTGGTTCTTGTTCTGAAGGAAAGGATGTTGAACTTGCACACAGAGCATAACCACAGACCACCCACACTTTTTAATCGTCCTCCCTTCCTGTCTTTTCTTTTTCTTTCTCAGGGCTCTGGCGACTTCCTTTGAAGGGAAGCATGGCAGTGTGAGGTACTGGGTGAAAGCTGAACTGCACCGTCCATGGCTGCTCCCCGTCAAAGTGAAGAAGGAGTTCATTGTGTTTGAACACATCGACATCAACACCCCCCTGCTGCTGGTAAGCCTGTTCACTTTACGAGGAAAGATCCGTATGACTCCCAGTGCACTGCAGCTGTGTAGCTTAGCTTAGCACTAAGACTGGAAACATTGCTAACACATCTACAAGTAACATGTTATTTATCCACACAAATAAAAAGATAAACAGCTTTTATTGTGGTGTTACTCTTAGTTCTTCTTCCATTGCTTCATTGTTCTCATGCTGAAAACAGTGATTTTAAAATGTCAAACTGCTCCTTTAAAGGGTCCAGGTTCTGAGTTGAATGCTGTTTCTTTAAAATCTTTTTGCCAGCAGTTTAAAGAGATCATATGTGTTAACAGGCCCCTCAGGCTGGTACAAAGGAGAAAACGCTGTGCTGCTGGTTCTGTGCTTCAGGCCCCATCTCCCTCAGTGCCAAAATAGAGCGAAAGGGCTACACACCAGGTAAGCCACACCTCCTACAACTTCCCCCAGGTGTTCTCTTCTATTTTTGGGAATTCACTTATCTTGCTTCTCTCTCAGTCTGACAGACTGATTTCTTCTCCCCTCTTTCCAAGGTGAGTCAATCCAAATCTTTGCTGAGGTGGAGAACTGTTCATCACGCGTTGTGGTCCCTAAGGCCGCGCTTTACCAGACTCAGACCTTCTTCGCTAAGGGGAAGGGGAAGGAGATCCAGCAGCTGGTGTCCAATGTGCGAGGAGATCCTCTGCCACAAGGGAAGAGCCAGAGCTGGGAGGGAAAACTGCTCAAAATCCCTCCTGTGTCCCCCTCCATCCTGGACTGTCCCATCATCAAAGTAGAATACGCCCTTGTGGTGAGTTCACATGTTTTTTCATATGTTAAATGAAATATGATGCCAAGCTTCCCTTTGCTGATTTTATTCAGGGACACTGACAGGAGCATAAAACAAAGGATTCAGAATACAGGATATTTGCAAGGTTACATTTGTCTGATAAAACTGCATTCAAAGTCAACTTGATAAATACGTTGGACTATTTTAAATCCAATGAAAAATGCCTTTGAAAAATAAAATAAAACAAAAGAAAAACAATTATTTGCTACTGACATCTGATTAACTGATTATATGAACTGATTATCTGATTAACTGACTAACCTTTTTATAATACCCTAGCACTATTTGGCTAATAAGCTGGTACAAAAACAAAAGACATATTGCTTCCTTGTGATGTACAGATAGCCTTAAACAATAATAAACTCATCATAAACCTGCTTTTAAAACACTAAAACATTCATTCACTTGTCTCCTTTGCATGTTTGTTTCCTGCTTGCAGGTGTACGTGGACATTCCAGGTGGTTTGAATTTGTCACTCTCATTGCCGTTGGTGATAGGAACCATACCTCTTCATGCTTGCACCACCCGCACCTCCAGCATCAGCAGCAACTGCAGCACTTTGAGCTGGCTGGGCCTGCCAGAGAGACCTGAGGGTATGTACTGTAAATGCAGATGCTTGCATGCATGTTTATGTGCACAGGGTACAGAATGTCAACTTACGCCTGTTTGTTTATTGCAGCTCCACCAAGCTACAGTGAGCTGGCCATATCAGAGTCTCACAGGCAGGATTATCTGCAGGGATGTGATAGGTCTGACGCGGAGGGTGAGGACCGCGGATCTCTGCTAACATACATCACAGAGTTCAGATATCTGCCTCCGCCACTGTATTCGGAGGTACTTTTATCACACACACACACACACACACACACACACACACACACACACACACACATTGTCGCCTCACAGGAAAAGTGCCCAAACAACATAAACAGACCTAGAATGAAATCCAGTCTTTGTACAAAAAATATCCAGACAAGACACATAAACATCTAAAATAACGTGTCATTGAGTGAGCCCAATTCACAAATAAAATTTGAACCACTTTTATGATTTTCAGACCTATCCAAAACAAAGTGAAATCACTGACAAACAGAATTAGGAAGCAGCACCTGTATGGGTACAAGATGTAGACGCAACTAATAAAGGCTAATAACACACAAAAATACATTTGCCTCACAAAAACAAACTTCACCTTTTTTCAGTGTTATAGTTATCACTTCACAAGGATCCTGTAGTCATAAAGCTGCGTTTTCCCCTTCCACCCTCTAGGTCGATCCTTATCCTGACCCCTTGGAGGTGCAAGGGACTGTGGAGGTCAGGAGACCTGACACCTGTCCCTCCCGCTGAGGAGAGTCCGGGATCGCTGAAGCCTGTGCACAAAAAGACAGAGCTGCTCTCAGCCACCTGGCCCACACAGCCAGCTTCTCACCAGATTATATATCACCGTAAATAAGGCTGGACTCTGCCTGACCCGGGGAAAATCAGCTGAGAGAGTATTTGGTGACCATTGAAGTGATGGACCAGGGATTTCATGCCGTGCTGGATCCGCCATATCGTGTGCTCAAGACATGGCAAAAACAGACAGTTTTTTAACACCACTTTATGACTCTGACAAGGCAGAGAACAAAGACTACTCCAAGTGGTCAGAAGAAGCCTCCTCCTGCCTCACAGTGAATTTTGCACATGCCGTTATTACTGTTTTACTATCAGTGGTTTTCTATACTGCAGATTGCCGCAGGCCTATACGCTACAGTATATATATATGTATATGTATACATAGAATATTTCACTCTAAATGGGCACATTAGTGACAGGATAAGAGCTATCTGCAGTAGTTCAGATGGCTGAACTTGTGACTGTGGCCTGAAGCTGCCACTGTCCCCCCTGAACAAAGATGAAAATTCATTGAGATTCAAAAAAAAAAAAGACAAAAAAAAAAAGACAGATGGCATCACTGATGCAGAAATGTGTCACATCAACGACCACCTCGAGCGTTTAGAGCTCACGTAGTGTGTGTGTGTGTGTGTGTGTGTGTGTGTGTGTGT